CAAAACACTTTACCCCTGAAGAATTCCAAGCTCAAACCACTGTACCCCTGAAGAATTCCAAACTCAAAACACTGTACCCCTGAAGAATTCCAAGCTAAAAACACTGTACCCCTGAAGAATTCCAAACTCAAAATCCTTTACCCCTGAAGAATTCCAAGCTCAAAACAATCTACCCCTGAAGAATTCCAAGCTCAAAACACCCTACCCCTGAAGAATTCCAGGTATCCTCGACAGGGGGGGTACGGATATTAAATGGAATAGCCCATTGTTTATTTAGAGCACTGTCGTATATTTTAACCGGTAGACAAACATACCACATGATTTTAGGACAAAAAATAGTGGATCACATGAACAGTATAGAACATGTCCTTAGACCATATATGAATAGTTCAGTAGATCATTATTTAGCCACAAGCAACATGAGGAACAGTGGTGTGTGGGGGACTGATATTGAAATTTTTGCAGCCATTCCCTTTTCAATGTAGATATTTATGTTTATTCACAGTTTGGTAACAATTATAGATGGTCTAAAAAGAAAAAGAATATTGGACACTGAGGCAGCATTACCACCTGGATTTACTTAAACACTGTACTGCCATTGGACAGCTACCTGTACCGTTGTACCAATAAGGGTGCTGTTTTATAGTTGTTCTGTTTAAATTTTTCTGTTCACTGTTCATACTTATAGCTATCATGTTTAAATTGTCCTGTTCAACACTGTAGATCGCACAGCTACGGTCATTTGATATATTACATTGGGGACGGCTTTATACTTATTATAGTTATCATGTTTAAATTGTCAGTCTGTTTAACACTGTACATATGACTGTATTAGGTACAGCTTTATACTTATAATTATTCTGTTGAACACTATACACACCTGACAGCTACGGTTATTGTACTTTTATATAGATTTGCTTTGATGGTGTGTAGTTTTATAATAATCTATCAGATTGTTTTTTCAAGACTGTTGATATTGGTTAGGGACAGGTCATTATTTATGGAAGGGGGGGGAGGGGAATTTTTTCTTTTCTAAATTTTTAAAATTGAAAGCCCCCCTCCCCTAAATGGCAGAAATTTAATGATGGCCCCCCCTGCATATTAGAATATTTTTCTTTGACCCCCCCCCCCCTTCATTTTTACTCGTCAAATGGGGATACCCAGGCGTTATAGTATTAATTATTAAATAAGAATATGGAACTGGCAAGATATTAACGTCGACCAAAAATATATATTTATTAGCAGAAAATTATAATTAAAAGAGGAGTATTTTTATATATAACACTAAAATCAGGTTTCCATTTGGTCTGGGCGATTGTAACCATGTTTAAGGCTGCAACTAGACTTGATGGTACGAAGTATTGCCATAGCAGCTGCGCAGCAACAATGAGAGCAACAATCAGTAAAATTAGCAGCAAAAGGAGATAGCAATGACAATTCTGCAAAGGCATACCTGCGAAATACAATGTATAGTGGTCTATACATCCTATTTTATGTGAGATTTAAAATTATATAAAATAAAATGACATATACTAGCTACCAGATAAAATCTTTTAGAATGAACATGGGTGGGTGGGTCGGGAAAAGGTATCGAAGCGCAAAACTTGCTGCAGCTAGGCAAAGCATACAATGGCAGAATGAATACCCAGACCCAAGCACTGATCACAAGGCATGAAACAACCCCCTTTGATCGATATGACATCACAGACTCCCTTCAGCGGATGTGGCCTACATAATACAAACGCCGTTAACTGCTTAATTTAAATGTATTTATAACCACATCAAGAGCTGATGTAATAATACATTGTCAATTTAACTAGTCTGCAATCCGTAAAGACTGATTTGCATACAGCACTCACAAGACAAGATGAATCCAGACTATTTCACATCAGTGACCATGATTTAGTTGCAACATTTACAACCAAATGGATACCAGATTATTAAGCAAATTCCTTCAAGTTTAATTGCAACCCCCCTGTCATTTTCTTGAAAAAATGTAATAGCCCCCCCCCCCTTCTAGTCATTTATTTCTACATATGCCCCCCCTTATTTTTTTCCTCCCCCCCTTCCATAAATGATGACCGGTCTCTTATTGTTAAAATCGAGGATGTCGTTAAAATTAAACTGTTTAAACCTGTAAGATCTTCGCCCCAGTTCGGGAACATTTTATATTATGTTGTGTTTTACCAAATAATGTCCTTGCCCTTGCACGGTTCCCATTTGTAAAAAACTGCTGTAAATCATATCCCCCTTTAATTAATTTGATCTCATCCGTGAGTCGGCCTCGAAGGCCTTTGATCTCTATTGTTGACTTGCATGTCACCCGCCATGTCAGGTGGCATGGCGCAAAAGAATATTTTATCACAGAATAAATATACCATGTCATGTCTATTTTGTGATTTTATCGATGAACATTGTCTGGTGTGTACCAGGAGGAGATTGGTTGCAAGTCAAGAATATAACGTTTTGCACCTGAATTGCTTTTGATTTTCGGAAATTGAAATACTTTACTTTCGCCGATGACCTCACTTTATAACTGGAGTGAAATCTCTTAAAGCGAAAGAAACCCCAGCAAGGGGCCGACCATTTAACATTTGAGGGGGGGGGGGAGGGAATTTTTTCTTGATATGGGATCGTTATGTGCAAGATTTTTTCCCCTTATTCCATGACCATGTACGATATTTTTTTCCACTCTCTTTCGCAGCATTTTCTTCAATAGCTTATACTATTTAGATTCTTTAATTAATAATAGTTAACGTTGAGTTTTCTAGCTTCATGCATTGCTTTTAATAATACCTATTGCTATGAGATATAAGATTTGGTTCAGGGCCTCTTTACAGATGTGTAACTGGATGGGACATATTTAGCGGGGGACCTGGAGAAGTTCCAGTCGGCAAGTCTGTATCACTGCAGCTACCAGCATATATATGCATGGTTTATCTAATAAGTATATGCCATAGGGCAGCAGATCAAGCCAATATTACCTAGGATTCTGAGACAACCGAGTCGACCACCGAAGGTGCAAGCCTCTAGAGGGGTCTGGGGGCATGCCCCCCAGAACATTTTTGATTTCGTGAAGTCGCATAAGCTATTCCCAGCATTTTGAGGATTTTTCCAACACGAAATTAACCTTACACTAGGTCTCCAAAAATCAAACCAGCTGATGTTCTGGGACTGGTCTAATCGATCCCTGCAACCATGCTGTTTTGCAACATTTTTTTCCAACCAACCAATCCAACCTTTTTTTCCAGGCATTTTTTGTTGTTCAGAATAGCCTTGCAGAAATTTTTTTTTCAAAATCACCCCCCCCCCCATCCCCCTCAAAAGTTAAATGGTCGGCCCCTAAGTAAAATAGAATACAATACCAAACATAAACTACTTGTAGCCTGCGGAAGCCTGCTCGGATACGTATGGCCATGGTCGTAGGAAGATCGATATTTTTGGGGGCTCATATTCATATATACATGTTTGCAGACCGTAAAAACAATCAAATTCAAAAGAAGTAAATGATGCAGAACACAAATATATGAATATGATGAGCTCCTGCCACCCCCCCCCAAATTATCGATCTTTCTACGCCCATGGCCATGCAGACTGAAATATCAAAATTTAATACGTATGCGAGCAGGCTGCCGATAGCACAGACAGATAAGTAGTTTATGTTTGGAATTGTATTATATTCTACTTACTGGGGTTTCTTTCGCTTTAATAAAAGAGATTTCACTCCAGTTATAAAGTGAGGTCATCGGCGAAGGTAAAGTATTTCAATTTCCGAAAATCAAACGTAATTCAGGTGTAAAACGTTATATTCTTGACTTGCAACCAATCTCCTCCTGGTACACACCAGACAATGTTCAATGATAAAATCACAAAATAGACATGACATGGTATATTTATTCTGTGATAAAATATTCTTTTGCGCCATGCCACCTGACATGGCGGGTGACATGCAAGTCAACAATAGAGAAAATGTAAAAATCAGTCCAGTCCAACTGTCCAGTCCAGTCCAACTGTCCAGTCCAGTCCAACTGTCCAGTCCAGTCCAGTCCAGTCCATGTTTTGTACTACGCCTGAATATCTCGAGGAACTTGATCAAATGAATTGGTCAGCCCGAGGTAATAGCCGTTTTCACATTAGAAGACGGACAAGTCGTCTAGACGAACAAATCGTCTCAAAATCGTCTTTTAGTCAAACAAATCATCAGATGTGAAAACGTGTCGGACAAAATTTTAGACGAACAAGTCGTTCTGAATTTGTTCGACTACTTGTCCGTCTGTGAAGACGATTTTTGAGAGACGATTTGTTCCAGCCTAGACCTAGGCCTTCTATTTTTATTTATATTTTTTTAATATTCAGCGCTTTTTCACATGAAAAGACTGGGATAGTCCCAGTCTTTTCATGTGAAAAAGCGCTGAATATTAAAAAAATATAAATAAGACTAGAAGGCCTAGGTCTAGGCTGGATTTGTTCGTCTAGACGACTTGTCCGTTTCTGATGTGAATAGGGCTAATGTATTGAGTCAATATTTGAGCAACACTTCAATTGGAACGACAGTAACACACGTCCGAATTTATCATTAGAGACCTTAAGATTGACGTTTACGGCAAACGTCAAACCGCTAGCGAAGTTTTTGATTTTACAACTCTGTTATAATAGCTTTTACACCAGTTTTGAAATATGTTAAATATATTAAACTTGTGCTCTTTAGCAATGATTTAAGAAAGCAAATTAACCACTAGTCATGCCATTCACCAAAGCAGTAAATTAAGATTTGGCGTTTGAAGTTGGTTAGATGGAAAACACGGAGTCGGAGTTCCGGAGTCGGAGCCCCGGAGTCGGAGTGCCGGAGTCGGAGTCCCGGAGTCTGACGTCATAAAAATATGGAAAACACGGAGTCATATGGAAAACACGGAGTCTGACGTCAGAGAAAAATATGGAAAACACGGAGTCATATGGAAAACACGGAGTCTGACGTCATAAAAATATGGAAAACACGGAGTCATATGGAAAACACGGAGTCTGACGTCAGAGAAAAATATGGAAAACACAGAGTCATATGGAAAACACGGAGTCTGACGTATTGTCAGCGTGAAATATGGAAAATAGTAATTAAATAATATATAATTTATGCGAATATAAACAAACGGACGAATTTATAATAAACGAATTGGAAATTTTCTGCACTAATTCTGGTATTTCTCTATTAAAAATGTCGTGAAAATATGGATTATTTATTTTTAAATACAATCAAGCAAATAATATTGTTTCTCTTGTCGTGTGACTTGTTCAGTTGTACAATATTTGAAGTGATTTTAATGCGGATTTTGTTCACCTCGCATGGTATGTTGATAAAAATATGGTTTATATACTTAATACTGCTAGAATATTTCATAGTCGATTTACATGTAATATTTATAACACAAAATCTTGACACTAAACAGATATGCTGCTTGGAAACAGCGTTGTTATTTAGGCCACATAAAATAAATATAGAAATTTTGTATTTCATAAAGTATTACAATGCTTTTGAAAGGGATAATTTTAACTTTTAAGTGAAACCCACCTGTTGTGGACTTAAAATAAAATTGTGAACTGATGATGCAGAACCACTGGGATAGGGATATTGCTAGGAATACTGCTAGGAATACTGCTAGGGATACTGCTAGGGATTGTGGCGCACTAAATTTACTGTTTTCATAGATTTTTGTCGGGAAAGTACAAAACATGGACCCCCGGTCCATGGACCCCTTGTCTGGAC